TGTTATCATCGAAGATATAAAGGAGAAAGAAAGTAGTTTTTTTGAGGGCACAACACGAGCACTACAGGAAAATCCTTGATGCGCTTCAAGAGCGGTGCCTCTGCGAAAGTAGCGATTCACATTGGATTTGAATCGCTGGAGATTAAATCAATTTAGAAAAACGTTCTTAGAACCGCAGTTCTCTAGATGAAAGAGTTCTTAAGCAGTGAAATTCGAGGTGTACTGAGTTGAACTGAAACGAAATGATGAGTAGCCACAGTCCGTCTTGTATTTCTGATATGAACCGCTCTTGGTGGAATCAAATGTGCCAAAAGTCACTTGAGCACTTCCCGTGAAAGTATCTATAAAAGAGAGATAAATACCCAACCTTTCTTCGATGTTCCAGACTAACAAGATTGCAATTTATGTTCATTAAAGTGAATGGCTCTTTTCTGGATGGAATCCAGCAGCTTTAGGGCATCCTTAGGAGCGGAGCTCCATACATGAGAACAATATTCCAAAGAAGGTCTGATCTGAGCTTGTGTGTACAATTTGCTGGTTCGGAACAGTTTTCCAAGCTTTTGAGAAGCAGCCTTTGCAATTCCAGCGACATGATTGTGCCCAGGCATATTGGTGTCTATTTCAACCCCCAACTTACTTATCGAAGCAGAAAGCGGAATTGTCTCTTCTGACATTATTATATCCGGTTCGGAGCCTAGATTTCCGTAGCATTGAATTGAGCCTGGTTACTTTCACCCCAATCCTAAATCACCTCTAGATCCGCATTTAGATATACAATCTCCTGCTGCCGGTGAAGATGTGAATCAGCAGCCGATGTTCTGGAATCCAACTGGAATGACGAGACAAGTGTGCTGTCGTCAGCTAAGCAATATATTGGATTCTTGGTTTTTTCCAAAAAGTCGTTGATATACAGTAAACAGAGGGTTGGATACAATATAGATCCCTGGGGAACACCAGGCTTGATGTTAAAAGTGTTCGAGAGATATACATCGAAGGTCATTTTAAAAGAAACACAGTTTTCCAAATATCATTTCAGTTAACTAGATAGTTAGTTGGTCGTACATAATACATAAAAGTTGACCAAGTTTGCTTGAACATATCTCACAACGAATGGATGAAACAGGGAATGAAAGGCACTAATAGTATTTTAGAAAAATGAGATGAGTTCAATTCGATAATGAATTGAATTCAGGTCAAGAAAAGATGAATACAGTGAAGCTAGTATATACATATTTGAGATCAAGAATTATATTATATTTTCGAAACTTCTTCATTGTTTAAATCAATGAAAATACCAATTCAATTAAGAGTAGTTTTATTGTAGTTTAGTACTGTGATAGACACCGAGATGTGTATTAGAAATTGAGATATGGTTAGGTTATATGGATTGCCTTTGATAATGTATCCTACAAACGTAGATCAACGTATTAGTCACGAAAACTTGTAGACAACAACCAACAAACCGGAAAATATATTTAATACAGTTATTTCCTTCTGTGGAAGTTTACAATTTTTTATGTTTATTGATTTTTTCAACTGTTTTGAAGCTTTGCATTCTGTTTCTATATTTTGCATTCTAAAATGGATGGATTAATGAATAAGTCAATGACAACTGATATATAATATAATATATATTAGCAATCACACGTTGAAAGGTGAGACCGCGTTAATCCTTAGCTCGCACTTCTGAGGGTTGTCGTTCGTAGGGGTGCGAATTATATTCATATTTTGAAATAAAAAAACCCAACTGTATAATCCATGATTTCACTTTTATGATGGCGGTTTCGTATGAAAAGCTGTTTGAACTATTTGAATAGATGTTTTGATGGCCAAAGAACACGAATTAAATGTTCCATCAATTGTACCTGATGAAACAAGTGTCTTCTGAACATATGTATAAATTTTGAAAATCGTTTTCCGTATTTTCTTCACGTAAAATCAAGATTTCGAATTCAACATCATGGTCACAGATGATAAATATATCGCCTTCATAATAGATACAATATTTCAAATATTTGATGATATAGGTGTATAAAGTAGTACGAACGTTCTCAAGTCCGTTCCTGCAAATTTATGAAGACTTGAAGATGATTTGCCATCCATGGCCAAAATTCTCATGAAATTATGTAAAATGCAAATTTTTTTGACTGGGATCAGACAAGTATAAAACTAGACATTTTCTTCACAAATTGCATCAGTTTCGATCTGTCGTCGACAAAGAATCACACACAATGTTCAAATTGGTAAGTACTTCACACACTTGTACATGTAATGTCTTCTTCATTTTTCACTAGATAAAATATAATTGAATTTCTACAGCGAAGTGATTTGTTGAGAATGACCTCCATCGCGGTCGTTTAAAGGTCCGGAAAACTTTACACGTATAATTCACTATGTTTCATTATATTCTTGAAATAGTTAGCAACTTTCTTTGAAGTCAGGAATATTCCTTTAGTGTTAGGTTATTTTCTAGATTAACCGATGTAGAAAGTTTTCAAATTGCTCAATCACTCAAAAATTCTTTGATTTTTTTGTGTCGGCATTCACTTTTCATTGAAACCTATATTTTTAAATTCTATTTTACTCCTTAAAATTTGATTTTATGTTTTACTTTTACTTTCACTTTTTATTTTTACGTTTCGCTTTTTATTTTGATAAAAATTTTATTTTACTC